TGAGTGAGTGAGTGAGTGAGTGAGTGAGTGAGCGAGTGAGTGAGTGAGTGAGTGAGTGAGCGAGTGAGTGAGTGTGTGTGTGTGTGTGTGTGTGAGTGAATGAGCATGCGAATGGGTCATTTATAAAACGTAACAAAATTAATCCCTGGATCCTCTGAAGTATGACTTGACACATACGACCATACACTTCTTCCCTCTTCGTGGCATATGTAAATCTCAGTGGATGACTACTAAATAATAATTCATCATATTTTGAACTTTTATTGAATAAAATACTAGAATACCTGAATGTGGTTCAACTTTGTGTGGTTAACGCTAGGATCGCATGTCATCAGCAGGTGTTTTCAAGCCATGAGGTGGTTGGAATATTTGTCTAAAGGTAAGTTTGTACATTAGTCAATTTTGTGCGCAGAGGACAAAGCATCCAGTTAATGGTCGTCAACTGCACTTTGCACGCGTGATTCGTACACATTGCGATGATCATACACAACAGAATTACATTTTTCTGAGTTCCACTTCTTCCCTGGCCCAGGCCGCCGCTGCCAACACCACAGGGCGGCGGCCGCTTCCGTCCAGCTGCTGATGCTTCTCTACATGACGCCCTCCGGCGGAATATTCTCAGATTTATTGTGCAAATTCCCAAACTGATTGTTTTTACCTCAAACGTTTTTAAGAAGAGCAGAAGAGCACGAGGTGGTTTGCTTTCAAGCCTGGTTTGTTCCCTCGCGAGTTTGTTTGGCAAGTTTCCTCCTTCGTGTCTCTTGCTGCTGCTGGTAATAGTGTTCGCACCAGAGGGCTTGCGGTAGTCATGGGTCGACCGGGTGGTGCTGCGGATAGTGCAGGTAGTGGTCGTATGGGCCCTGAGGGTATGGGTACTTGCTGGGATAGCCCGGCGGATGTTGTGGGTACTTCGGCACAGACGGAGCTATCGGGGTGCGCGTGTGAGGGTGTGGCCACGTGTACAGGTAGGAAATGATGACGTAGATGATGAGCGAAATGAGCACGGCCGTCAGGATGCACACCAGCGACGGCCAGATCTCGGCCACGTACACCGACCTCTGGCCGGAGCGCCGCTTGCTCTCTTCGTCGCCGCCCATGTTGAGGGAGAGCCAGGTGGGCTTCTGGTGCGGCGCCCACTCCTCGCCGCCCTCCTCCGACGACCTCTGGCTGAACATGAGCGGCAGCCGCTCGCCGTTGTCCATCATGGCCGAGGAACAGACGGACGGGCGCGGCGAGGGCGTGGGCACCGCCAGGTTGTCCTGCTCGGCCTCTGCAGCGGCGATCGCGGCCTCCGACAGCGTGGGCATGGACTGGGAGTTCCTAGGAGCCCTCGCCTTGAAGCCCCGGGGCAGAGTCGCCGACTCGTAGTTGCTGGTCCGCGTGTGCGGGCGGGAGGGGGGGAGGGTGGCGGTATAGGTCGCCCGCGCTCGCGACGACGTCAGGCGCTCCGCCGGGGAGCTGCATCTGGGGGACGGCGACGGTGACGGTTGTGCAAACGAGCCTCTCTTCTTGGGCAGTTCGAGGGTGTTGACGCTCAGCGACCCTCGTCGCGACGGCGGAAGATTGGGGCCTGGGGGGGCCGGGGGCCCAGGGGGGCCCTGGGGGGCAGGGGGCCCCGATAAGGGCTGGAACGTGCGGTCATAACTGTGTTTGCGGTTGTTGAGCGTAACCAGCACGGGCGGGGGCGTCGGGTAGTCGTTCATGACCACGATGGGCCCCTGCGGCAGAGGCGAGTCGAGGACCTCGATGCTCTTCCTCCTGCCGCCCGCCGTCCTCGTCCCGTTGGAGCCCATGTAGGAGGTGTAGTACGACGCTGAGTTCTGGAAGGTGATGAGAATGGACGGCCTCTCATCCTGCGCCTCCGGACTCCCGGGCTCCGGGAAGTCCGGCAGGGGGTCCACGGCCGAGCTCCTGCACTGAAGGGAGTTCCGCCGGTCACTCATAGCCACGGGTCAAGGGGGTCCACGGCAGCGAGCGCGGCTTCCTACGCGAAAGAGACACTCGCACCCGCTCCCGCGATATCGGACATTTTCAACAGCGAGAATTCCACGGTGGAAATCCCCTTTTGGTTTTTGAATTTCAGATCACGCCTTGATTTCCATTCATATCGACAACGATTCTCGGTCACCGAAGTCTTACTTATAAACTGCTGTCGCCCGCAAGTCACAGGGCCTCTTTCGCAGGGCCCGTGTGTTGCCCTGTCGAACCACTGGCCGAGGGACGCCGACGCACGAGAGACGGACAGGCAGCAAGCTCGAGCGTGAGCGGGGCAGTACTGACGACCAGGAAGGCGTCGCACTTCGAACGCGTACCTGCATCTCAGAATGACGTCGCCTTCTACCTGCCATACTCTTGCATCTTTCCTTCTCTTCGCCAGTGGCAGAGCCCCGTGGCTTCCACCGGTCCGACCGAACATCTTCCCCCAAAAGCATGAGTTTGTCTCCCTAATTTAGCCGAAAAATAATACAAATTGTGTACATCTGGCGTCCGGCAACACAACGCGAGAAGACTTACATGACTTTCCGTGAAGGCAAGTGTTCGTCCTCAAAAGGTTTCGTTCACTTTTCATTACAGCTGTTAATATATGAAGTATGTATTCTAAACAATTTAAAACACTTCGAAAACTTATGGAAATAATTTAAAAAAATGGTTCAAAATTAAAAATCACGTGTTTCTCCTCTCGGACGCACGTTAGGTTCAAGCTGTTTATCACTTGAAGTCTTTGATCAAGTCGGAAGGACTTTAATATTATTTGTTAT